TCTTTCCCTTGGGTCCTGCTGCAAGGTCTGCTCCAAGCAGGTTGATGTCTTGCCCTTAAAAATACCATCCTGAGCGGGTACCTAAAGCTGTATGCAGCAGTATTTGGATAGGGCTTGACATGGACTGCAAAATTAGTGTTATGTGTGAATTTGAACTCAGAGCCTTGTCCAAGCAGTGAGGTTTTATGCTGTACATCAGCCAAAGAAATTGCCTTTTTTTTTTTCTGTTTCAATTAGAAAGAACATTAGGTCAATCAGATAAAACCACATTGGGAGGATTTCCTCTTTATGGCGCTTGCCTCTTCAATTATCTATAATGAACTTCCTCACAGCATTGCAAAGCTTTTTATATGCAAACGAGTCCTGTTTTGGGGCTGCCGCAATCACTGTTTGCTAATGAAGTTGAAACAAGTGTTATCGGAAAGGTTACAGCACCAGTGGTGGGGGGATCAGGGATAAAGCTAGAAAAGAAAGACCAGCCCGCAGAGCTGGGATTGGCCTGCAGGTAACATAGTTTACTATCTTCAAGTCCCATCCTCCAGCCTGCTTCAGAGGCTTTTCTGTTTGACAGACATCAAGCAAAATGCCCACCCTTGGGAAACAGCTGCTCAGCAGCAGATAGGGCTTTCCCATCTTCCTGTCCCACTGATCCACTGTGCCAAGGTATCCTCTCTCCCAACCCCTATAGCTGGAGGGGAAAAAGGGATGTTGCCAAGGTTAGTTCTTATGCCAGAGGAGAAAGGGACCAGGACATGCTGGGTGAGGAGTTTGTTTCCCTCTGTAACCCTGAGCCGGGCACAGAGAGCACCTGGCCTTTCCGTAGGTAGCCATCAGCCAGGCTTGCTGCAGAATCAGAGCCATTGCAGAAGACATCTGCCCCATCTCTCTTGCACATTTTTCTGCACATTTTTCTGCAACAGCACAACCGAGGGCCTGTGGTGTATTTTGCACGGATACCCTGGCATAGATGGCAGGAGTGCACGACTCTGGTTGGAAGAGGGAGGTGAAAGGGAAGATTCAGAAGGGTGTTAAAGCCATACAGCCCCAAAGCTGTATTTATGCACGGCGTCTGCGGGAGTGTTTGCAAATGGACACTCTCACTCCAGTTTTAATATATCCCATACCACCTCTTTCCTCTGCCATCTGTTTTTTAAAAGTCTAAACCACCCAGGTTTAGATTATGTCAGGGCTGGAAAAGGCTCCCTACACTGTCAAGTCTCATCCTCCTGTCAAGAAAAATGCTTCTATGACACTTTAACCGTTGTTTTTCAGCATTAGTAGTACCCTGGGGACAACTCGTCACAGGATAGGATAGTAGTAAGAGCAGGGAGCGTTGACAGAGGGTGTAGCTCCTCAAGTATTCCTTGGAGTCAGACAGCCTCTTTTCCACACCGGCCATTCCTTGTGTGTAGTGGGGCCTAAGGCAACGTCCAGCACTCAGATACCCAGCTTCCCCGGGACTCATCACCTCTGTCTGCTTGGTGACTTGGTGCACAGGACCAGGATCCCCAAAACAGCAGGAAATCACACTGGTAAAACTGATCCCTGCAATGCAGTACCACATGAGCTTGCCGCCTCCAACCCATATGCTGTTCAGCAAGGCCCACGATGTTCATGATGGCCCATGAAGGCTTAGCCCTCGGTAAAGTGTATTAAACTAGATCTTGTATCGGATTAACACAGTTAAATTGCCACTGGACCCAAGTTAGTTTGCCTCCATCCAGCTCCAGTGACTGTCTCTTTGCTGTCCTGGTTCTGGCATTGCTCTGAACATGGCCAGTTCAAGTCTGCCAGTAGCTGTCAAGTACTTAAACTTTTAGCATTGCCATGTAAGTGCAAATGAGAAGCCAGGTTCCCCAGAGGGCTGTTCAGTCTGACATCCCCACCTGGACAGAGAGACCGTCTTTGGAGAACTGAGAGAGGCTTCTGGAGTTCACAGCAGCTATGTGCCGGGTGGTTGCTGGATTTTCTTCCTGCCCCTGGCTATGGATCAGCTCACACCCACGGTGTGATGATTGATGGCTCTTGTAATTCTATTCCTGGTTGGTGTAACTGCAGATGTTACACATCTAATCCATTTCTTTATCTTCCTAAGCTATTTGCTTCTGTAAGATGTTTCCACCATCTGCTCTAACAAGCTCCCAGGCTCTCATAAGCCATAAATTCCACTTTCAAGCCTTTCAATTGCTTTCCCTCCTCTCCAGCCCTGGATCGGTCATTTTCCTTCCTCCCATCCCTTACCCATACCTACAGGTAGAGCTTTCACATCTTTCAGCATTTTGCTGTCTCTGCTTGTACAGAATGAACCCGGCCAGGGGTTCCCCGCGGGGGCTTGATTTATCATGGGGCAGAACAAGCTGAAATGGTGTTGCTCTCTGGACTAGACAGGGTTGCTGTGTCATCATGGCACTCTGGCGCTCTGCAGAGAGCAGGCAGCATGCCAAATACAGTATAAAAAAGAAAAAGTGAGGACAGGCCTTTTCTTGGCATCTAGTCGTTGAAAACACTTAAAAGAAGGGACACTCATTTGCTAGCGAGTGATCAAGGTGTTGTGTTTTATGCACATGGCATGCACATGTCTGTAGCCCAGTGTAGTGCTTGTTTAAGGATCCCGTTTTACATCACATTGCCTTCGATTAGCTGAGCAACATTGCAATAGTTTCCTAACGGGTTGATAGCTTCCTAAAGTACATGAATTTGCCAACTTGCAGTTGCCTGATTCATTGTGCCGTTGTATGATGAAGCTGTGCTTTGCTTCTTTAACTAAATCTGTGCAAAATCACTTGACTTTGAATCCAGCTTTCTGCATCGTAGCTTTGGGTGCCAAAATTCTGCTGGTGTGAGGTACCCATCATCCACCAAGAGGCTCTGGGTTAGGAACATCCACTTAGTATCGCTCCTTTTGTAAAATTATCAGTGGCCTTTCCAGGGGATCTGCACACAGTGGACAAGAGCTATTTCTTAATGCTGGGGTGGAAGTATTAGTTATCATTCTGGAGTGATGCTTTTTGACCAGATTACCCTAAGTATAAATAATAAAAGACCTATCCAGAAATTTCACTGCAATATATTGTCCCTACGCCGGAGGGAGCTTGTAAGTGGGAGTTGAATCCATCTATAATTTTCCGTCCCCTTCTAAACCAAATCACACTCTCTTTTAAACATCCCAGACTCTGTGGCTTACAACATGCCTTGCTGGAGCTATCCGGGGCTGTGCCTTTGGAACAGTGGGTGCAACGGTTGTTGAGGAGGCAAGGAGTTATGCTTGGGTTTGGTTTTATTCACTTCTCACATCTTGGTGTTGTGATGAGGACAGAATTGCTTTCCCACTAGTTGATTAATGGAGGAGGCATTAAAAAGCACGAGAAGTAGCTTCTTTGGGTCCAGTAGGTTGAAGGATGGCAGTGAGACAGAGCAAAGGGAAGTGGGAAAGGATGATCTGTAAAAGCAATCCTTCCTCACCTGTTTATCTGAGCCTTCCTGGTAATGCTCGGTGAATATGCTTGTAATAGTCTGAGGCTTGGGAGGCATAAAGGCTTTGTAATCAATTGAAGTGACACGTGAAGGAAGAAGGTTGAGAAGCATCAAAAGACTTCGACTGGGGCTTGGAAACCCCTATGCTGACTTGGTGTGGTCTTCTCTCTCCCCAGGACTGTCCCCAGCTGCTGCAGGCAGAGAAGATCCTGGTGCCAGTGGAAGTGGTCAAGCCAATCACGCTGAAGGCCAAGAACCTGCCGCAGCCGCAGTCGGGCCAGCGAGGCTACGAATGCATCCTGAACATCCAGGGTAACGAACAGCGGGTGCCTGCCTTGAGGTTCAACAGCTCCAGTGTGCAGTGCCAGAACACGTCGGTGAGCAAGCCCTGCTGCCTGGGGCATGAGGGGGAGACATGCAAGGGCCGAGGAGTGCCTACGGCACTGTCCTGGTGGGATCTCGGGTTGTGCTGCTGCTCCTTTTACCTTACTACCAGCCTGATTCTGGTCAGGGTCAGGGGAGGTCCGGGCAGTAGCTTGCAAACTGCCCCTTTCACTCTTTAGGTCTGGCTTGTGGCAACGTGCAGTGGTCGCTCCTGCCCATGGATTCCAGCATTTGGCCATACTGGAGCACCTTAGCCATGACCCATAGACACTATCCCAGGCTCAGCCTGCCTATTTCCTCTCAGTACCGCATCCTTATGCTGTGGTTATAGCATGATGCTCCTGCAGTCTCTGGTGAACTCCAAGCAATCGCACCGCACCAACCTCCAAGCAATCCTCTCTTACCACCCCACTTTCCCTTCCTGGTAGAGTCAACGTTAGATGGTCCTGGGCATATTACAGGTTCCGAGGGGCTTCCAAAAGGACGAGTGTTCACATCAACATTGTTGTGTGGGGGGACTTGGTAATGGGACATATAACTCCATATAAACAGCATGGCAGATGCCAACATGTAATGACCCCAAAGGAAGATGCGATGTTAGAGGCTTGAGTAAAGCCTTCTCCCAGCCTCTGACTCACTGCATGACCTTTGGCTGGTTCCTTTGCCTCTGCACACCTCCATTTTCCCATCTGTAGTGCAGAACCAGTAATCCCTCTCCCAGGGAATTTATGTGAATCACAGTGGTGTTGCCATGATAGCAACGGCAATCTTCAGGGGCAAACGCTGGCGTCTGCCAGGAGCTGTGCATATGTGTGGTGGTGGTGTCCTAGCACTGTTTCTCAGGAGGTTTCCGTGAGACTCAGATCTCCCAGGCATTCATTTGAATCATACTCATTGCTACTATTATGAGACGATTTATTAGTCAAAGAGCTAATTACAGGCTTTAGCCACTTCACTGCTGCTCCACCACTCCACGCCGGGCAGCTCTTGTTAAAATCCATCACAACATATTCTGCTGCATTAAGCAGTATGTGGAAGATTATAGGCAGTTCATTCATTTTACAATCTATTTCAAACAAACAGCTTCCCGGCAACCCTCTCGTATATGATTCCATTATTGGTTAGTGGCCTGTGAGTGTCCAAGTTCACAGAATTGGATGGCTTAAGAAATTAAGAAGGCATTAAACACTTTTTTCCCCCCAATTTTCTTTTACAATGGTGAAAGTCTGTGGCTAAAGGAGTATTATATGGGTCTGGGCAGAGTCTATGTATCTGTGCATAAAACTGTTGCAGGGACAAGAGCAGCCACCCTTTAGCGTCACAAATTCTGTGAGATATGGAGGCACGGGCACAAGGTATCTCAGAACAGTTTTAAATACTGTTGGGCTGAGAGGTGGACTGACTGCCTTAACAGTCTTGGAGATCTCTGTCTCCGGGTTGCAATCTGTGCTATCCAATAATTGAACCTGATTTTGAGACGTAATGATGACTGTTCCCATGTTAGCTGTGCTTTTAGCCATGCACTAACTTTCTGTCTCAGCCCTGCCCCAGGGATACCTCTCCAGCAGCCAGGGGTGGCGTCTCTTCTCCTTAGTTTCATCACCTTCCCCTTACGCTTCTGAGTCCCCGTGAGTGGTGGATCTGGTAGTTCGTGTGCTCAGGAAGAGGACTCAATCATCCACTTATTTTGCTTAGGACCGCTTCACAGGAGCTGCATGCTCCAAGACACTGCCAGAACCTGGGATCAGAGCAGTTGGCTTCAGTGCACCCCCCAAGATGCGTTTGTTCATGGGGAGCCTGAGTGCTGAAACAAAACTAGGTTGGCCTTAATATTTGTTTTGATGCAGGAACACTCAGGGCTATGCCTGCTGTGCGGAGTGGCAGGGCTGAATATCAAGCAAATGCCAAAGCGTACCATGACCTTGCTGCTGTAATGGTGTCTGTAGGATGCCTGCCCCATGTGTGATGTTTAGTTGTGGCTCAGGCTGGTCCCCATCTTCTCTATGGAAGGAGGTTTATTTGGGAATAAACTTAACCTCTTCTTCTTCTCTTCTTCTCTTCTCTTCTCTTCTCTTCTCTTCTCTTCTCTTCTCTTCTCTTCTCTTCTCTTCTCTTCTCTTCTCTTCTCTTCTCTTCTCTTCTCTTCTCTTCTCTTCTCGTCCCTTCCCATCCCTTCCTTTCCTATCCCTTCCTTTCCTGTCCCGTCCTTTCCTGTCCCGTCCTTTCCTTTCCCGTCCCGTCTCTTCCCTTCTCTTCCCATGTTTCACCTCTGGTTTATGTTTGTATTTTTATTTTTCCTGAGAAGTAGTATTAAGCAAACACTGAAAGAAAGACAAGTGAGAGAGCCAGACAAAAGAAGGAAGCATTCAAAAAGAAAAAAGGAAAAAAAAGAAGAAGAAGAAAAAAAAGAACAGAGAAGCCCTCACCCTCAGCAGGTGGCAAAGGACACAGACAATAAGGAAGGAGTTCTGTATATAAATCTCCATCATGGTTATTTCCTTCCCTATCAGAATTAACATTCAGTCTGGAGCCCATGAGGCAATGAGTCTGCTCTGAGGGGTCACCTGGCATTAGAAACGGCTCTATGAGCTTGTTTGCAAATTGAATCAGCCTCCTTCAACACAGTTTTTTGCTCAGCAGAGCTGCTGCATGAAACAGTGAAAGTAGCACCTGCATTGCAGGCTTGGAGAAAGTCCAAAGGAGGGTAGGAGGATGTGTTATGATGGTATGTCCCTAAAGGGATGCTACCCTGCCAGCAGATCTTTCTGTTGGTGGTGCATGCTAGACTAAGCAATCATTCTTGGCTTGTTTTCCTCCAAAAGCCTCAAGATCCGGCTCCTTCCTTCCCCCGCTCCCCATCATACAGTAGGCACTGCCGAGCTCAACTTCCAGTCTTGCAGAATAACTTCTGCATAATGTAGACATTTTCCTGCATTTATACAGGCTGGGATAGAAAAAAAGGCCTTTAATCTTGCTCTTGAATGCATGGTCCTTCAGGATTTACACGGGGATAGCTGAGATCAGAACTATGTTCTTCCATCTTAAGCAGGAGTTTTTTAAGTGTCTCCAAGTTCAATTAGGAGATGTTCTAAGGACACTCAGGTGGGATCAGGCTATCTGAATGACTGTCAGTCATGTCATATCCAGCACTGATGATGCTTAGGTTCTTGGTCCAGTTAATAGTCAGTTCTGTGTCTCTCCCTGGCTTTCCTGGAGATATTTCATTTGATAACATCAATAAATCACTGCAGGTAGCATGCTTCAGGTTAATTATTGTTCTTGTCAAGTGGTTTGAGCGTCTCAGCTCTGGACTTGGTCCTCTATCACACCACCCAAGGCACGTAATTATCACTCAGAGAGACCCTGCCTGCCATTCCTTATTACACTTACGATAGCACTGCTGACAGCCTGGACACAGAGTGACGGGAGGAAATGAGAAGGAGGAAAGCTAAGGAGGCATATAAATAAATAAATAAATAAATAAATAAGTGAAAACGTCAGCAAGAAAGGCTGGAGCTGTTAGATCTGTTAGGCCAGAGAACAATCTTCCCATGGGAAGCACTGGGAGCCTCAACACTTGCAATTGCTAAATGCCAGGGCAGCCAATATAGCCAGCAAACCTTCGGCATGAGGAACAGGGAGGGAGGTGAAAGGTTGCCGGCGTGAGCATCGCCCTGATCATTGCCATTACTAGCTTTGGTGATCTCGGCATATACGGTCCCCTGATGGGTCTCCAGATGTGTCCTGTCTCACCTTGGCACACCCAAATGGTGCACACTGATTTCTAGCAGTGAAAGCTCTGCTGATAATTTGGCTCAAGTGTCTCATAGTTGTGAGACCCAGCATGCTGTGAAAGCCAGTACTGTACAGCTGAGAGTCTTGTGTGACTTAGGGATAGGCAGAGCAAATGCCTTATGTTGGTGACATTATTACACTAAAGCAAAAGATCTCAGGAGCATTTGACTTTGTGGTACGGCTCTCAGAGAGGAGGGAATGTGGAAAAGCACAGACCACAGAAAAGAAAAAAAAGAACTGCTCTTCACAGAAATCATGGGAAAGCACACTTTTGGGTGGCCAAATGAAGATGAGCACATGAGTTTATACAGGAATGCGTGCAAGTCAGCAGAACTGGTGACCCATGTACAAAGACTACATCCACCATGTCCCGATATTGTCTCTCTCGATGTATTTAAACACAGATCTCCTTTACTTGTAACACTTTGCCAGCTGCAGACACTGGAGCAGTGTCTCCGTTTCTGTGTCAGGAGAGGGACAGATACCTGCTGATCAACTGCTCTCTGCTGCTGTCTTACTGCCTGTCCTTGGGCAACTGCTTTGATTTGCAAGTTGGAATTTGCCTGCAGTTTTGCAGACTTAAGGGTCAGATTTACATCTTCTGAGTAATTTTGCCTATGCTGGAGACAACTGTGCGAGGCAACATATAGATGCATCCTTAATGATGTGAGTGTTCCTTGCAGAAGTTACCTGGAAGCACTGCTGTTAGTCCTGGAGATCAATACATTGGCCTTTTCTTTTCTTCTCTGAAACATATTTCTATCTTTTTGTTACAACTGAGCGAATCTCTTTCAAAGACTCCTATTGAGTTCAGAGAGCTTTGAATAGGGACCACAATGGGCCAGCGGCTCCTGTGGTCTGAACAGGATGCAGCATTTACCTGCTGTCGCTTTGCTAATTGCTCTGTTTCCCTGCAATACAGGCCAATCTCTGTCTGAGCAGGACAGGCATGGCAATATGAACGCCCTTGTTCCCGTCCCCAGCTGGCTTCGTCCCTAGAGCTCTTCCAAGGGGATCCCATTGTTTATTTCCTCACATCCATTTCCAGCTCTGGATCAAGTTTGCTGAGTTAACAAGTCTAGTATGTGTTTGCTCCCACTGCTGCCGACAGATAAGATCTGAAACCTCAGCTGGGTCCCTGCTGATGGCACTTCGATCCTCAATGGGATCAAAGGCTCCGGGGGACTGCAGCTGCCTGTCCCTTGGCAGCCCTCTAGGCTCTGCTAACGGCTAAATCCCAACACACACACATGAGGACCTATTGAGGCAGAAAGTAGCATTTCTCAGGCACTTGCTGACTCAGCTTGTGATTTAAAAGTGACCAGGGTTTTGATATATGTGTTCTTTCCCATTTTCAATCAGCATGTGTAAAATGCTGTGTAAGACAGACATTAGCAAAGCTCCTGAGTGGCAGAAGATTAATTATCCTCTACTTTTCAGGTGCTTTCCTTCCCATTCCAGCCTCCGATCCTTGCTCCCAGCACTTCACAGCCATGCTGTGAAAAGTCAGTGTTGTGAGCCCAAGCAGCTCTGCATCATCTTGCATCTTACTGGCGATGACACCAAGAAGTGTCATAAAAATGCTAATACTGAATGAGATTGGCGGGTACAGCCCTGCTGTATGGGACTCTGCTAACCTCTGACTGCTCTTTACTTCCATGGTAACTGCAAAGCAAATAGCCACGAATGCCTTACAACTAGCTTGTGATCACAGGGTCCTGCGGATTACTGGCTAATTGTATTTATTTTATCCAAAGAGAAATTACTATGCAGCTAGCACTCACTCTGCTGTAATGGGCAGAAATCATCGTAGACGGTTTACTCTGCAGTTATACCTCTACCTCTAAAGGCTCAGAGGCTTTGGCATCTCTGTGGAAAACCAGGCTGAGTGTTTCAGTGCTGGGGACCTCTTCTGTGGTCTCTAAGATGTGCCTAGCCCAACCAGACAGCTTATTGAATTGTACTTAACCTCTTACTGGGAAAAATACCTTTTTCTTTAGAGTGGGAATTCGTTCTGCTGCAGATCCCTGTGCAATGAGATTCCTGATCTCAAATGAGTAAATCTTTAAGTGTGCTGTACTCAGAAAAATGAGGAGCGTGAAATGTTTCTCTCCTTTTTTGCCTTCTTCATTTTCTGTCTTCAGCCACCATCATTGCGATGCTTCCTCTCCTCCCCCATTTTGGGACCTTTTGGCTTTGGGTGAAGAATTGGATGGAAGCCATTGATGGAAGAGGGCAACAGGATCTGATGGGCTACTGGATGAACCTTGTGTAAACTAGCCTATGATAATCCAAAATCTGACTGAAAAGATATACTAAGCATCATGTGTCAGAGGACTCTCGAAGTGGAGGGCTGTGGAAAGGGCCTCCAGAGATCAACTCCCATTTTCTTTATTAAAACGGGATGCTCATACCCCGACTGTGCTTGACAAATATGTTAAAGTCTGTCTGACTCTCTCAGAGATTTCTGTGGCTTTCTTCATAGATGGTATTGGAAACTGAATACCCCCTACTCCAGCTGAAACCTCTCTGATTCTGACTAGAGAAAAATAATTGCCTCCTGGGGCTTGCGTATGTAACAAATTCAAGCTAGTGCGTCTCCAAATGAGATTTGCTTGTTTTTTAGCAGCAATATGGCATTGTTGATTCACAATCTGTTTGTGATCTTCAGTAGTCCCCAGATCCTTTTCTGCAACACTGCCAGCCACTCCAGCTTTATATTTGTTCGCATTAATTTCTCCTACTGAAGAATACTTAGTTCTTGTCTATGTAGAATTTCATCTGGTTGATTATGGCCCAGTTCTCCAATTTGTCAGGTTTGCTTTGAATTCTTAACCCTGCCTTTGGATATTCTTGCCACCACTCCCAAAACAGTGCCATTCACGAATTCTGTAAGTATTGTCTGTAGTCTATCATCCAAGTCAGTGGTGAAAATACTGAATAATACCAGACCCAGGACAAAACTCCCTTTGAAACACCCTCCCAGTCCAACAGTGAATTATGCTACTTGTTTTTATGACAGCTTATGCATATGCCTTATGGTGGCTTCTTTTAGATTGTATTTCCCCAGTTTGTTTATGGGAATCTCATGTAGGACAGTAGCAAATACTCTACTGAAATCAAGATAAATCATATCGACTGCCTCCCCTTTATCCACAAAGCCATTAAGCCTGTCAAAGAAGGAAATTACATTGGGTTGACACAATTTGTTCTTGACAAATCTACGTTGACTGATTTTTATCACCTTATCATCTTGCAGGTGCTTACAAATTGATTGTTTAATAATTTGATGTGCTTTATTTCTGGGAAGCCAAGTAGGACTGACAGGTCTATAATTACATTGGATCTCCGTTTTCCCCTCTGTTAAGGTTTTCCCATGATATGTTCCTCTCCTGTTTTCTGAGATCTCACTCAGCTTCCAAGAACTCTGGAAAATAACACTAGTGTTGGTAACCTTAGATATGCACCTAGCATCCGCAGAGCACACAGCAGAGGCATATTTGGATGGCACATCCATAGTGGGGCATATACACCTCAGACATGCACCTAAGAGCTGACAGAATATAGTTGAGAGATGCACTCAAGAGCTGGAAGGTATATTTCCAAGATGAGCCGCCCCATATGCAAAACTGCATTAACCATGAAGTACTCACCTAACAGCAAACACTTGTAGGCTATTGAGAGAGGAGATGGCTTGCTCCAGTGAGAACAGCAAGTCTGAGAGCTCCCCTTGGTTTCTTGCAGCTAATGGCAGGTGACAGCTCCATTTTTCTTATTCAAAGTTTGTGGCACCACCTGTTGCCCCCTTGTCGCCTCGCCATCTCTGGGCACGATGTTAGTTGGTGTATTTTTTTGCTCTCCCTTTTCTAGTATTCGTATGAAGGGATGGAGATTAACAGCCTGCCGGTGGAGCTGACGGTTGTATGGAACGGGAATTTCAACATTGACAACCCAGCACAGAACAAAGGTAAAGAATTATTTCAACTTGTCCTTGGAAGTGGTAACCTTAGCAACGGGCCACATCGTTCTCTATACTTAACAAAGCAGCTACCATCTCCCTGTGCTGTCTGGTGCATACTTGTTCTCTGCACTCTGCAAATCACTAATTTTTTTATGCTTTGTGTTTCTTTTTTCCCCCTTCTCTTTGAGTGTGACTTGCCCTCCTACTAGCATTTCTTCCCTTCTTTGCTCATAATCTTTGCTTCACCCCACATTTTTATATCTTGTTTTCTTGCCCTCCCTTCTCCTGCTTTCTCCCTCTCTTTATTTCTCCTGCAGTGATGCTGTTCAAGCTCACATGCTGGGAGATCGGGCACTCTCTGCTTAGAGGCGATGTGGTAATGAACAGGGGAAGGCAGAGCGGGTGCAGAAAGGCTGCGGCTTGCCGGTGGGAAAAGCCTAAATGAAATATAATGATAATGGCAAATGACTTAGTCCCACCTCCTCTCCAGAGCATCACTCCATTTAATGACTGTGGATGGCAAAGGATTCATATGCCTCTCACACAGGGGCAATTGCTTGTCCAGCGATGACCCTACAACAAGCATTTTTACTGGAGATGGCAGCTCCATTCACTTCCTCCTGTTCCTGCTTGCCCTTTACTCTCAGGCATCCCATGGCCTTTTCCCTAGGTTCCCTCTCCTCTTGGTCTCTTTCTGCGTTTACAGCTCAGATCTTCAACCTTTCCTTCTCATGCTACTACTTCTTGAAGTTTCTCCATCCTTTGCTTTATTTTCCCATTTTCTTGGACACTTTTCATATCTTCTCCCGCTCTGTCTCTCCCCTTCGTGTGGTCCCGTGCTCCTCTCACCTCTCCTTGCACCATTTCACACCTACTCTCAGGCTGAGGAGTGCTAGGTAAGATTCCCACCAATGCCTCATTGAAGCTGAAGAGAGCAGTACAGGAGGCAGCTCCTCCTACCGTGGCATGACCCCCTTCCCCTCCATTCTCCCACTGCACCCAACTATGTGATATCTTTCCCTCTGCTGGCTCCCCATTAGATTCCTTTTTTCTCACCTGCTGTCAGGGACGCAGCAGCCAATAATAAGTTAGTGATAGACGACAAGTTCTTCCGAGCAGACATATGCTCATGCAGCTTCTTACGTAATCCTGGGCTGCCCAGAATCAGGTCAATCCACAGGGGAGCAGGTAGCAAAAGATCCTGGTGCACAGTAAATAATTTACAAAACTGAAGCGTGAGTACCTTCCCGTGTCCCCAGAGGCAAAACAGTGATGGACGCTTCCCATTCACTTACCCTGTCTCTCCTCTCTTCCTCTTGAAGGGGGAAGAAAGCTCCTCACACTTTCAGCCCACAGCTCAAGAGGTGACCAGTTGTGTGGCCACCCATGCCTGGCCAGGGTTAGAATAAATGTAAGAGATTGTATACTGTCTTCCCCAGAACTGTGGCTCTTTGAGGTTAAATCTACCCTAGTAAATCAGACAGGCCTGAAACTCTTCTCTGTCCCTGAGGGCAAGCAACATGGCACAGCCCATGTGCACACTGCCAGACTCTCTCCATGCCGAGGCAGTCTGTCCCCTCTCTCCTGCCCTAGACTGTGATGTTCTCCAAACTTTACCAAGGCATTGCCAGGACAGCGCTGATTTCATGGGCCATATCAGGGCCATGGACTGTGCTAAGAGTTAAACAGTGCAGATTGGAGGTCAGTGATTGGGCATGCACCATGGCCCTGTCTAGTTTCCTGGTATTTTTATATCCTGAGCATTCCTGATGAAACACAGTCCACATCAAGAGCGTCAGCCCTTGTTTGGGCAGTACTCAGCTGGGCTACGTGGTGTACAGGTAAAATCAACCTCAAAATCAGTGTAATTGTGTCTTCAGCCATATCTGTGCTGATAACTTAAAGAGGGCCAGGGAATGAGCTCGAACTCTGTCCCAGGAATATCTGTGCTGCTTAATCTCTAGTGCAGTCCTTCACACGATTCTGGGTTATGTAGACCAGTGTTCTCCTAGGCAATGACTAGGAAAAATGTGGGAAGTGGTGATGGCCACGGGCCACCCTGAATAAGTAATTAGTATGAGACGATTACGTTTTTAGGGCAGGAGGAGAGCTTAGCCATAGACGTACTTCATGGAACCACACCACAGAGTCTCATGGCCAGAGACTGGCTCCTGGGCTGCTTTATTTACTAGCATAAATGTAGTGTTTCAGAGCAAGCACAAACCCCCGGCAGAGCTTTTGACAGTGTCTTAAACAAGCAGACTTTCTTCTCTGGAAAACAGAAGGAGAGAGGCCAGATGTTTTGCCCCAGAACAATGGCAGAAGCAGGACCAGAAGCAGTGTCCTTCAAAGTGCAGTTGTATTGGAGCACCCTGCCTCTGAGAAACTAAGAAGCCACCTCTTTTAATGCCAGAACCAGATGGGCTGGGCTGATAGGAAAGACTAAACTAAGCAAAGCCCACCAAAGTATCTGCAGAGATAGTCATTGGGATCACCACAAGCAAAGCATCTCAGCAAATTTGAGGGAATGCTCTGCGTAACAGCAAACTGCAGGGATTTCTTGCAGGAGTCCTACAGCACACTGTGACTGACAGCTATTTTGTAAGCTTTTCTTGCACCCACCTTGGAGAAATAAGTAGTTTCTAAGCCTTTTCATATGTTGGTCAAAACTTGCTGACTTCTGGGAGAGAAAGCGGGGGTATAGTATTAACTGCCAGCCAGAGGTTTTCAGCAGAAATGTCCAAGGCCTATGAGATTTTGGATTGTGTATATTAATAATCACAGACAAGACTTTAGCCATCTACTGACGTAGCAAACAGAAACACAAAGCAAAAATCCCCCAACTCATAAAGAAAGCCGCTAGCACCCACACAAACCATAAAAAAAAGATGCAGTTTGAAAGCCTGGATACTGCTGCTTTCAGCCTCAGGGAGGAGAGTTTTGCTGTCAGTCCCCTGTGCAACCCAGGCTTCAGTTTACACGTCTGTAAAATAAGGATAAATAGCAAGGTCTTGTTTTGTAGGAGGACTACAAAAACAGTTAAGCTTTATTTGGAAAAGGCTTTGACTGCTTCTAATCACATATTAGCAGCCCAAGATTGAACTGAGCATTAATCTTTGGTGTCTGTATTAGAGGAGGATCAACTTAGTACTTCAAAGTGTAAACCAGTCTGATTTTCTGGAGCAGAAGAAGGGGGAAAGGCTGATTGCAAATCCCTGGATTGATCCTCATACTGAGGCATTCTGGATTTATTATTCGATATTAGGATTTCTGTTAAGCGGGGAAATCTGAAAGACATCATTTAATACCAAGTTCTGGGTAGCTGCACAACAGAAAAATTCCCCATTACCAAGTTTAAGCTCCGGGTAGACCAGATTTACCAGACCCATTTTAAAATGGAGAGCTGAGGCTGAGACTGGTTAAGGTGGCAGTGGGTGTTATTCAGACAGTTTATGAAAAAAAGGAAGGGATCGAGTCAAAGTCACTGCCCAAGGATATTACCTCCTAATCTCCTGATCACAGCCCATAGCATTATTGAGGGCAGTATCCTTCCTTCTGCTCGCAGCTTCCCAAAATATCCTGCACAGGAGCTGGACTCTGACAAGAGCAGATTGCCTCAATGATGGTGTAAGCATTTGATCTCTCCTTCTTTATCCCCTGCAGAGGTCCTCTCCTGCCCTTGGGATGGGCATCCCAGCACTTATTCCTCTGTGGTCATTTCTCCCTTCACCTGCTCCTCATTTCTGCCCTCAGACATCCTGCCATTCCCCCATGCCATCTGCATCTCTCAGGTCCTCTCTGTTTTCCTGTCCCCACAGTGCACCTGTACAAGTGTGGGGCCATGCGTGACAGCTGTGGCCTGTGCCTGAAGGCCGACCCGGACTTCGAGTGCGGCTGGTGCGAGGGGCAGAACCAGTGCACGCTGAAGCAGCACTGCCCGGCCCAGGACAGCCAGTGGCTGGAGCTGTCCAGCACTAAGGGCAAATGCACCAACCCCAAGATCACCCATGTAAGTCATCAACCTGCAAGGAGCGGGGGCGTTCCCTCTCATACCCCATTCTTGGTTAAATTTTCTTATTTGTTTTTGGTTTGGTGAGGGCAGGTCAGGGTTGAACTCTGCTGGGTCAGGCAAAGCCCTAGGCATCTCTGGGAATGGGAGTCCATGGCGGCCTTCAAAGTCAGGGGCACAATGTCATGTGTCCACATTATAGGGGCGAGCGTAGTCTCAGATTTTCCACCATAGTCCACTGGGACATGAGTAAGTGGTCCAAACAGTCTGCTAGTGCAACCTGAGAAACAGTGGAGCATCCACACTGCCCACATCGGTCTTGCAGGTGTGACATGAAGCCTTTCAGTAGAGCAGGGTCTTCTAGAAGAGCAGCTTAGGGGAAGACAGGATGCTCTGGGGGACCTCAAATGGACTGACCAAAAGTAATCAAAAGGGAGCCCAGGTATCTCTTGGAGCAGCCTTCTGGCCAAACTGGTTGAGAAGGAGATGATGAGTGATCCCAACACTTTGAGCTTTGATAATAGGTGAAGGAAGAGGGCAGGCTGTAGCCCATGCTTCCTCTAGCAGCAGGACACGGGCAAAGTCACAGTCTAGAAAAATTACTAACTTTGGCAGCGTGACACTCTTCTGTGTGTCTGGCCCAAACTTTGCATGATGAAAGAAGTCCCCATAGACCAAAGACCTGTGCAGTTGCAGACCAAAGCCCTAAACAGTTGTCAGCCTTCCCTCCTTGAAGGCTTAATAGCAGCTGAATAAAGCAGGATCAGACCTCGACTAAAAAGTTTAGAACTGTCCTGTGAAGTGATAAAGAGAGAATGAGGGCAATGTCGGGGGGAAGAACTGCAGGAAAATGGTTTGTAAGGTTTCCTGTTGATTGTGTCGACTGGGTCAAAGCAAGAGTTGGAAGAAAGGTGCAAAGGGGACATGAGGGAATAGAAAGAGCATTACATAGAGGGAACAGAGGAAGGGAGAGAATGCAAGGGAGGGAATTCAGGCCTCTGGTCACGAGTGATTTTGGCTGCTGTCTCGGGATACCTTTACCATAATGAAGAACACCATTTCCAGAGTCACAGGGAGAGATAGTGGGACAGATCTGAGCCGTGATAATGTGGAGTACACCATTACCAGCTGTCCTCTGCCTTACTCACTTTTAAATTACCTTACCTTAATTAGCATTAGTACCTTTTCAGAGTGGCTAAGGCCTTATTTTTCAAATAAGAAAGGTAAGGAGGAGGAAAGAAAGAAGGAAATGCAAAGAAGAACCGTTAGGCCTGTGTGGTTTTGGTTAATATGAAGTATTGGGTGGATTCTTTCTCCTAGGGACTAAGAAAGGCTTTGCTAATTCTATTTAGTTAAAAATCAAAGAGGGTGGGCGTTATGGATGAACTGTATCTGAACTGATGTGCTTTGGTGAAGGTTTCATGAGAACAAAGGCTGTGCAGAATTTGGTTTTCCCAGGTGTCATTGAAAGGAGCCATTCCTACTGTGTTTCAATTTGTCTTCCTGCAGTCCATCAATCTCTGAAGTACTCACTTAGTTGAACTGCTGAGTTTCGGACTCATTATGATATTTCCAAGGTGCTGGCCTCTACCATGCTTAGACTTATCTGTGTCTGGTAGTTCTGAACCCCACCTGAACCATTTGAAGCTGCAAAACCAAACTCAGAGGCAGAGAGAATGAGCAGCTACTTCTGAAAGTTCAGCTTTGAGGCCTTGAAACTTATGGGGAGTTGAGAGGAAACATCCTTCAAATCTTTTTCCCATTTCCTAGACAATTATTCAGAAATTCTGCACAAATTCATAGGATGTAAAATTGAGAAGGCGTTGGATGACCAACTAAAGCAAAAGTCCTAGGCACAAGGGCCTGCCCTGCAGTAGCATGCTGTTCTGAAGGTCCATCCACATTTCTCTACCATGCTCTGATCCAAACCCTGCAGCTACAGTCTCTTTATGAAGAGAAAACCACTCATTCTCCTTCCTTCTGCTTCAGAAGAGACATACTTCTAATTCTGCGGGCACTCCCTCCAACAGCTCCCAAAGCTCTAACAGATCATTGCAATATTCACTCATGAAATATTCCAACTGTCTGGTGCAATCATAAGTAGCTCTTTGAAAGTCTTTTTCTGAGCCATTAGCATGGAAGTAATCTCAAGTGACTGGATATATATTGCAGCTAATAGTACGTCTGGAGCAGTGGGTAAGAGCATGCATATTCTGGCAAGGAGCCAGGGAAATATCTGTGCAGAAGAAGGAGAAGAAACAACACGTGCGTTCACACTTACACAGACATACGTGTGCATGCCAGCATAGAGCTTCCCCCAACCTGTAGTTATTCACTAGTTCCTGAATTTATATTGCCACTCAGTGGAATTAGGACTTATAGACCCACCTGGCTATGAAAAGTTCTTTAGGAATGGCAAGCTGTAGCATTAGACTGGTATCAGGGAAGGCTGTAAATTGTGATGTGGTGTCATAGCCCCGTATCCAAAAGAGAAGGCCGAGGTTTCCTGGCAGCCTTCATCTTCCTGCCCGTGCTTCCCTCTCCGGTGCTGGAAGGTCTCGTTCCACATTTTTGCACCTGTGATAGAAACAGGCGTCTTCTCTCTCGATGTGGAAACAGCATAGCAACACCTTCTTCTTTGTGTACGCATCTGTGGGAGTGTCATGAGTGGAGGTTAAAAAAAATCTCCCACACGCTCCCAGGACACCCCCCAGGCCTCTTCTTTTAAAGAAATAAGGGAATTTTGAAGCTGGCCTTTAAAAATTCAGAATTTCACATATTGGGGTTGGGGGTGGCGGGGGGAGAGATTTTCAGAGGTGCTGCGCTGGCTTCACTCTGGAAAGCTCCTGTTGACAATTCAATTTTCAGGAAGTGGCTTATGGCACCTAAAATTAAATATCCTAAAATAAAAATTCCTCTAGAGGCGCCAGGACCTCTCTCCATTTGTTAAAGATGGACTTTCTAAAAATTGGCCTCTCTTGGTTGCAATTAGCTGCCACCAGCCTCACTCTGGTGCCAGACTCAGCATCGGGACGCGGTCAAGAGCAACCCTTGCTCATGCCGGTGCCTGGACTTTCCCCGCCAGCCAGACTACTATGCAAGGGTCTAGCTGCCAGCCCTGGCCTCCTGTCTGGCAGGGCTCTTGGCCGATGGGTACGGACCTCAGACAGGGAATTCCCCCTTCCTGCCACTTCTCTGCGGAGCGAGCCTTGCCAACTCTGGCAGATGGCAGCCATGGCATCCTGAACGGGCAGCAGGGAATACCCTTTGAAAGCAAAATTTCAAGCCCCTTTCAACTAGCCAGTCATATGGCAAAGCATTTGGGCAGAGTAAATAATTGGAAAGGCAGAACCGAGATAATTACAGGCCCTCCCCATGATTTCCGTGTTGTCTTAATATCCAGGATACATCTCCAAGGCTAATTTCCACCTGGCTCTAAACAAGGGTGACAGAGGACATGCAGAGGGCTTTTCCGTTTACATACGCCCTCCACATATGCCAGAAATATTGCACGGAGATACCCAGCTCCAGGGCAAGGTGAGGGCACTCAATGGGAGCGCAATAGGAGGGACACACACACAGATTCTTTGTGTGTGGGGTGACTGCAGCCTTCACATCAGACCATTGTGCAGGTCTAGTGTTGGGCCAAGAGCTAAATTTGGGTGGTGCTTTGGTTCAGCTACCCAACAGAGCCACTGCTCAGTGAAATGCAGAGATTGACCCTTGCTAAGGGTCGATGATGGTCCACACTGGGGTGCAAACGTCAGGTCACCAGCCACCAGGACTACTGAGAAAGCCATCCAGTTCATGCTGGGGCTCAGGCAGCTCCCAGCCCCACAAATGATCACCTCCATCCTCCCGTTCCTGCTCTTCCCCTGGCCCCAGCTCTCCAGTTAGAGCAGCTGCGGCTCTTTTGGAAATATGAGCTGGCACATAGAAACCACTGCTACTGTCTCACACACTTGCTCTCTTGTATCTATTTTGTACCTAATCTGACACTCCATTTCTGTTGTGTCTCAGCTACTTTTTCAGATGGACATTTTCAGCTGAGTTTGGGATGCATGACCAATCTCTCCCTCTGGAACGGATCAAAAGCTCCCTGTGGTTTGGACTGGGAATTTAGGATTTACAGTTCAAGTGCACTGCCAGAAAACCCTGCTCCCATCTAGAAAACATTTCCTACTTGTCTCTGGATATTTTTAAAGCACTCAAAAGAGAAGAGATGAGATCTGGGGCAGAATTTTGGATACACTGTGCTTTGGCCGTGTGTGAAGCATCTTTGATATATTTATCAGGGAGCTGAACACCCTGCCCCCGCCGTGTGAGCCCAGAGTAGGCTTGGTTCTCTCGGTTGCACAGCATTCACGGTTCTGGTGTCTCTCACCATTAAAAAGTGGTCTGGATGCTGCTGCTTCTGTCACTGAGAGGATGCTGATGTCTTTACGAGAGTGGTTTGATTGTTCTCCTTTTCCTTGGCTTGTTTTTTCCAGATCAGTCCAGTGACAGGTCCTCGGGAAGGAGGGACCAAAGTGACCATCCGTGGGGAGAATCTGGGGCTGGAGTTCAGAGATATCGCATCTCATGTCAAAGTGGCTGGAGTGGAGTGCAAACCGTTGGTGGAAGGGTACATTCCAGCAGAGCAGTAAGTTGGGTGTGTGGCAGATAACGGGCCACAGCACACCTAATAACAGTTATTGCTACCTTTGAGCTCTTTTTAGGAATGGGTTCCCCCCACTCCAGTGCAAAGAAGATGCCACTCCCCACTCAGAGCGCAAGAACTGATAATCCCTTTGTTACCGTATTCAGACTTCATATTTAGGTGATCCTGATGGCATATGCCCGACAAAGAGCTTTTGATCCCTTGTATGAGTTGTTCTCTGTTTCTCACATAACAGCCACCACAGGTGGTTTAAGTTCCGGTCTATGGGATAGCAGTCCTTAGAAGCAGCTTAACCCAGCGCTAGAGTATGTGTTAAGCTGTAGGGCTGTGGCAAGTTCAGAGAAGAGAATTAAATCTGGTGGACGGAGGGACACCCGGGGCCAGGCCTCAGTGCAGTATTACTCCATGTATTTAAGTGAAACAATATAGATTTACACCAGCTAAACACTTGTCCCAGTGAGTGCAAACAGCCATGAATCACCTCTCTTTAAAGAACAGCTTGGGTCCTGTATATGAAAGCAGAAGAGGATGGGTTAAGTCTACAGTCCATTCCCCCCCGGTGCAAGCTGTTGTCTGCTCCAACATCATCTTACCCAGACTGCTAAACCATCCTTAAAATCATGCTTCTTGTTCATGCTTTCTCCACAGGATAGTGTGTGAGATGGGGGAGGCCAAGCCCAGCCAGCACGCTGGATTTGTGGAGATCTGCGTGTCCGAGTGTAAGCCGGAGTTCATGGCCAGGTCGTCGCAGTTCTACTACTTCATGGTAAACTCCTGTGAGAAGGTCTCCTTGACCCCAAAAGCACTTGGTCCCTGGTCACCTGTCACTGTGTCTGCCCATCATCCTTAACCATATTCAGTCGCCAAGTACTTCACTGCCATCTTGAACATACAAAGCTTTTCCTTCCATTTTCATTAAAAATCTTGTTATGAGCAAAAAATAGTTTGCCTAATTAATTTTTTAACAGTCTAATAATAGTCCAGATTGTTAGTCCAGTTACATACAGTCATGGTCCAAATTAGTACAGAAAAACCTCATTAATAGTTAAAATTAATTTACAGAAAAAAAAAAAAATCCTAGAGTCTCACCTTTTCTCTGATGTGATGCTCATCCTGCCAACATCTCTCCAGGCCCTGTGGTTGAAGGCACCAGTCTTCCTCCAGCAGAAGGTGGAGTTGTCATTGAGAGTCGTCATCACCCTGAGGTCTTCACCAGGAGGAGTGTGATGTTCGTAGTGGGGTTTCTTCCTCCCCACTCGTGGGTCCCCCGGGGAAGGTTTTACCCCTCCTCTCCCCACTGCCGGCTCCCTTCTGTCACACCCCAGCTCCAGCGGGAGAGTTGCCCAGCACCCAGCCTGGGTCACACAAGGGCTGTTGTTTGCCAGGCAGGGACTGGCTGGGGGCAGCTTGGGGCCCTGTGGGTGCTCGTGGAGCTGAGCTGAGGCCGGCGGGCAGGTGGCTCTTGACCTCAAGACCCTCGTGATCACAGTGACAGCCAGCTCTGGCCACGGCCAGTTCGGAGCTGCCTGAGACCCTGTGGTGTCAGGTCAGCACAAAGCCTGTGGCCTTCTGCTAGTGATGGCAAAAGGTCATGTTTACTGAGCCACAGGCGTAACCATGGCAGTGGCAGGTGTTTCTAGAACCCTGTTTCCGTTTCATTGGTGCTAAGTGGTCTTCTGGGTGTCCAGGGGAACGAGTGCTGCCCACTAGGCTAAAGCAGGAGGGACCAGTTAACCAGCCAGGCTGTGGCTGAACTGTAGAGCATGACTACGGCTCAGTGGCAGTAAGCTACAGGTCACTTTTTTGGATGCTCCATAGTGAAACAGCAGATGCCAAGCAAGCCTGGATTTCTCTCAGCTTTGAAAGGGCGATGTCTGCACACATGAATGAAGGTGGGATCTCACTGCAGTGCTCATGCATGCAAGGATGGGCTCAGGACAGCAGATGTCCGCTCTGTCAGAGCTGTGGCTGCCACAGGCCAGCAGCTCTCGGCTCATATGCCTCAGCTCAGCTCAGGTCTCTCTTGAGCCTCAGATACAGCCTCACAAAGAAGTCCAGGACATTCCTCTGAGTGCAAAGCTCTCCACAGGCTTGCAGCCA